GTACTGCATGACCTAAATAACTGCACTACCACAAAAGCCACAATTAAGACAGATACAGTCAGCTACTGCTGGTGATGTTAGCTAGCAAAAGAGACAATTGAAAAGATGATTGAAAACATCAGCTGACACATTTTCTGCACTTTTTGGCTCTGACAGAAAGCAGCAAACACTGAGAGCCTATGGATAGATTTAAGTCTTTAATGAGTTAAGGTTTATCTACTGTGATCACCTTTAACATTCTTAATTCATAACCTTTTTTTAAAATAATGTCTTGTCTTGATCTTATTAGACCTTCCAGATTACTTCTGAAAACTAGGCCCAGTTTCCCAGACATGGATTAATCCAAATCTTACACCACCATCATTTTCTAACATAACTTTACTAAATTTACTTCTTTATCCCTTCTTGTGAGGCGTTTGGATGCCCCTACCCAGGAAATACCAGTACTTGAGGGCGATAAGGCCATCGGGAAGTGTGAGACAATGAGGAAGCTGAGGAGCATTTTCTCAGAGACTTTGCACAACCTTAAGTATTTTTAGAACCAGAGTAGTCACGTCGCAGCAGTCACGTCGCAGCAGTCACGTCGCAGCAGTCACGTCGCAGGTTTAAGAAACTTCTCCATTCGCTAAACTTTTAAGAACTGGAAGCTACATCCATCATTCATATACAGATTGTGATCTGCTCTTCCCTCTGCCAAGAATAATGGCTATTGATCTTCTGACCAATGAGAAAAGAGAGCATATTGATCAATCAACACTCAACCCTAAAGACTACAGTCCTAATTTACATCCATGTTTTCGAGCTTGTACTCCTCGTTTTCGTAGCGGCTAGCTTCTTTCACGCAGTGCTAGCGTGGGATATCAGTTTTAATGATTAGACAGGGAATCCTGCACCCTGCATGAAGCACACTGTAAACATTGCCTGTTCTGTTTGCGGTGCTGAGAGCCGTTAATGTTTAATCTCTTCGGTGTGAATTTATGCTGGTTGTTTGTCCGATGACCATGATTGCATTTACACAATTTTAACAGGCAGCCAACCAGAAACGGGTCACTTCCTTTACTTTTTAACTCACCAGCGATAAACCAGCAGAAGAGAAAGACAGATGTCAAGGAGTTCCAGGTTGTGCAGATTGTGCTCAGAGGGTTGGAGGTGCCTTCTTCGGGCTCCCTGGCGCAGGGCAAGCAGGAGAGCAACGACAGAATCAGGCCAAAGACTCCCACCACTATCAGATAGATGGGGATGAAGTGCTCACGCGGACACTCATGAAGGTATATTGTCCCTGGTGGACACAAGGAGGATGATTAAAAAAAAAAAGAACAATCTGAGCTGCCTGGAAAACTTTAATACTTGTGAACACTCAGTCAAGTAAGTATGGAGCTCACCAATTGCAATCTGAGCAATGGGCATGCCGCACAAAATCACCTTTGAAATCGCTGCAAGAAAAATAAAACACTGAACTCATTTTCTTCACATGATATTTACAGAAATGAAACTATGACACCAGTGTTCCACCAGATTTTACCTAGAGCGGGTGCTGGGGGTTGAGGATGGTTCCGGATGCGTCCCAGAAGGTTACTGTTCGCCATTTTTCCTAATGAGTTTCTTCACCTGCAAACGAAGATAAAGAGCTGAGCTGGTGAGAGAAAAAAAAAAAATTGTTCAGATTCTTTTAAAGGTCAAAGTGAAGTTGTGCAAAGCGATTTTGAGCAGCCAGAAAAGGCAGTGACAATGAAGCAAACAAAACAAATCTTCTGATTACAATACAAGAAATTTGTATCTTTGTCTGTGAGCTCCTCCTTCGTCTGAGGCTCCTGTGCGCTCCAACCTACAGGTTTGTCAGGTCATCAAGCGGGCTATCAAACATCGAGAAATGTTTGAAAACGACCCAATTTTAGCATATGAACATCCACCACTTCTATTCTTTTTTAATTTTCCCCAATGTGATTAAGTACAACAGCTTGCTGGCAGCACACACACTAGGATTGGATACCAAACTCTGTATTTTTCAGGCTACTACGAAATCAGTCTGCAACAGATGTTTGGTACCATAACATGAGGACTGGTACCAGGATTAGAGGAAGAAAGAGAGCGTTCCTGTGATGTGTTGAGGAAGAACAAAAACACAGGATGGTGGCAGCGGTGGTGAGCCACAAACAATCTCAATTGAAAGGACTCTCAGAAAAAAAATTGTCATGGCAACACAGCACATCTAATCTGATGAAACACCAGGTCAGTCACAACATACTGTATATCTAAGACATGAAGATTATATCAAATCTGAAAACCAAATTCACTAGCAGAGCGGCAGCTAGCATTAGCATTGGGAGATAATGAGGAAACTTTTAGTGAGACGTTGTTGTTAACAGTAAATCACCCTACCTTTATGTGAGATGGCACGTCTGAAATATTTCTATTTCACGGAGGAGCCATGTTCCACACTGAAGCTCTCTGAGCGCTCAATAAGATGTAACTGATTAAAAAAAAAAAAAAAA